ACTCGATCCCAGGACCCCGGGATCATGACCTGAGCCGAAGGCAGTCGCTTAACCGACTGAGCCACCCAGGCGCCCAAAACTAAAGAATATTTTGAAAAAAACATTAAAGAACTATTTTAACCCTATTATTTTCTTTCTTATCCTTCAATGGTTTTGTCCGTATTTTAGTTTAAACAAATTGTATACAATCATGCCTACTGCTTTTATTCATTTAAATGGTATATATTTCTCCATTAAAGTAAATTCATTTATACCTGTAACTATATACATATATTATTTTACAGATAAGGGAAATACATTCATATACCTGCTTTTTTAAAAAATTGCACTTTCCCCTTTTACTGTTTTGCTTGTCTGCTCCTTCCCCATCTTACACACACACGTTTTTTTCTTTTTTGTCCATGTTTTACAAAGACAGGATTATATTCTATATTTTTACCCCATATCTTGCTTTTCTCACTCAACAATACCTTAAGATGAGCTCTTCATGTGATCAGGTATGGTTCTGATTTACTCTTTTAATGGCTGCCTAGTATTTTATAATGGAAAAGTATAATATCTTATGTAGCTATTGATGAGCATCCAATGCATTCATTTACTTAAATTTTTTTGTATCTAATTTTTTAAAAACATTTATTTGTTTCAGAGAGAGCGAGCGAGAGAGAGAGCAAGGGAGCAGAGAAGGGGCAGAGGGAGAGAATATCCAAGCAGCCTCGTGCTGAGCGCAGAGTCCCACGTGGGGCTCGATCGCACAACACGTAACATCAGGACCTGAGCCAAAACCAAGAGTCGGACGCTTAACCAGCTGAGCCACCCAGGAGCCCCTTTTTGTATCTAATTTAAATTATTCTGATATATATCATAAACTTTTCAATACAATTTTCCACAAAGTAAATTATATTAGGAAATTTATCAGTTCCTCTGTTTTTTGTCAAGACTTTCCTCCTAGAGACTTCCCTTTCCTGGCATTCCTAGAATTACTTCTTTTTCTGGGGCTCCTGTCTTCCTCTTCCTTGGTATACCCCCTTATTTTGGTGGAGCTCATTCTATGGATGTTTCATCAGGTAAAGTGGTCTGTGGACAGAGTGCATGGTGATAAGCCTGTCTTTCGTTATTCTCTTCCAGAATGGACTAGTATCCCTCTGTGCTAGACCCTGTTTATATGCCTCCCCAGGGATGCTCAGCCGGGTTTATCTGCTTCCCCCTAAGGGAAGATCTCCTGGCACCAAGCACATTCTTATAGACCACAGAGGGAGGGTTTCCATCTTCACAGGGAGGAGTCATGTTTGGTCGTCTGCTATTTGCCTGCTACCTGAGCCTTGCTGTACCTGCTCTTGATCCTTCATAGCTCACGGGCACAAGCCAGAAGTGCCTAACCTCATGTTTCTACATATACTAGTAAGTATAGCCACAATTTTTTATATGCACAGACTCCCATTATTTTTGTATTATGTATCCTGGATCTAACCTCTAAGTCTCTTATCTTTTGCCTGCATGATTTCCTTTTTTATCTTCAGGCTCTGTGCACTGAAATCTTTCATTTGGTTTCCACAACACCAATTCAGGTCTTGACAGAGACCAGATTCTCTTTTAATTCATTTCCTAGTGTTTTATTTTGTAAAACATGTTTTTAAGCTCAAGGAAATCTTTGTTGTCCCACACTTTGATTCTGCCGTCCAGCTAACTGCTCAGCTCATGGGAATTATGACACTGGCTCTCGCTGTTGGGACTGTGAAAGAGCCGAGGTCCTGCCTCCTCTCAATCATCTCCATGTTCCAGCAGCTGTAAGGCTCAGGAGAAGCAACTATGTAGCTTAGTAGTGGGAATGTGGGAGAGAGGAAGCCCATTCATGTTCCATGAACAAGCCCATGTTCCCAGAATCTCCTCTTCATTCACTAGTCTTGCCAGAAGTTTGTAGACCTGATAGACCATGATGTACTTAACTACATCTCCTCTGTTACATATATAGGTTCATATTATTTGTCATCATAAATAAACATGCAATAAACATATTTTTGTGAATGTCAACTTTTATTCTACTGTTGAATGATTTTTTTTCTTTAAGATTTTTATTTACTTGAGAGAGAGAGAGAACATGAGGAGGGGGTGGGCAGAGGGAGAGGGAGAAGCAGGCTCCCCACCGAGCAGGGAGCCCGACGCGGGGCCTGATCCCAGGACCCCGGGACCACGACCCAAGCCGAAGGCAGATGCTCAACGATTGAGCCACCCAGGCGCCCCAATGATTTTTTTTCTTTTAAGATTTATTTATTTATTTATTTATTTGTCAGAGAGAGAGACAGCGAGAGAGCAAGCGAGCGCACAAGCAGGGGGAGCGGCAGGCAGAGGGAGAAGCAGGCTCCCCGCTGAGCAAGAAGCCTGACTCGGGACTCGATCTCAGAACGCTGGGATCATGACTCTAGCTGAAGGCAGAGGCTCAAACGACTGAGCCATCCAGGCGTCCCTTGAATGATTTTCTTAAATTATATCTCAAGGACTGAAATTACTGGACTGAAACATTTTTATCACTCTTGATATTTATTCACATAGTCCTTTCCTAAAGAGTTGTATTAAGTTGCATTGCCCTCAATCTCTGTTCACCTTATGACTTTCCTTCTCAAATGAGTTCCTGTGTCAGAGGAGCAACAAGTTCTTAGTTGCTTAGCTGCCCTTAGTAGTAATAGCAGCTACAGAGACTTTTGCCATCTTCGTAGAGGAGAATGTAATGTTTATCAGCCTTGCCAGAGAATGATTCATCAATGAATAAAACAGGATCATGAATAATTCAAGGAAAGCTAGCCTTAGTTCGTTATTAAACTTTGTCTGCCTTGACCATTCTCTCTTTAAATTGGGATATGATTTACCGCTTCATTCTTGAGATTTTCCAAACCATATATTTCAAGATGTTTCTTTTCCCTACCTGAAATAAGAGTCACCCCCCCAACACCTGTGAAAGGAGGAAATTGTTGACTTTCAGAAAGAATTCCTATAATGAATTTAAGGATGATTTAAAATATTGTTTTGCAAATTTGCAATTCATGCTAGAGGACACACACATGCAAATTTAAATATATGGCCTGATTTCGATGGGAATTTTAAGGATGAATACGGGTCACTGTATTTCCATTAGTTTGAGATTCCTTTCCTATGTCTACCAACATACTTAATTATTGACAATTAGGAATAATATCAGACCAGTCTGTGTTAATCAGCAGATGACTAATGTCATATAATGAAGTTCATTTGATTTTAAAGAAAATAGCTGAAAATATTAATAATTAAATCTTGTTACATGTCTTACCTCTTCCGGTGGAGTCACTACATAGGGGGGATTAAACACCAGAAGATCAACTTTTTCCTTCAATCTTGGTAGTAAGCCTTTGACCTAAATGTTTCAATAGTCAGAATTTTAAGCTAGACTCAGAATTAAAATAGATAAATAAATAAAAGTTTAAAAATACTTTCTTCCCATGTTTTTAGAGAACAATGTGTTAGAGGGCTAAAACTGTAGACAGAGATGGAGATAATTATTTTTACATTTTCATTCAGATATAGATTATATGCATTTACCTGAAAATAGGAAATTAAACTATTTAACAGAATGAACATAAAATGTCCAAAAAGCCTCTGCTTTTTGATAGCTCATATGTTTACACTCTGGGTTCACTTTTAGAAGATTAAATAAGGAAGCAAGCTCTCCTATGTTCTGTATCGATATACATATACTCTAAAGCTATTGCTCTAACTTAAACATTTATTTTCTGTAACCAAGAGAAATGTTTTATGAGATGACAAAAAATAACAGAAAACACATATATATAAAAACATATATACATATATGTGTATATGTATTTATATTTGCTTTCTACTTTAATTACTCATAAATATACTGGCTGGAACAATTAGATATCAAAGAAAGGGCTAAAAAAAGTGGAAGAGACACTGAAAATCTCAGTTGTTTGGCATTTTGTAAACCTTTAAACAACTGGGTACAATTTTCTGTGGAACAACAACAAAAATGTCTTTTTAAACAAAGTGCTTTTAGGGCACAATGCCATTTAAAGTATTCCTTGGATCCCTCTGATGACTGAATTACACACATACTCACAAAATCACATCTGGTCATGTCACCCCCCATTGTCACAGATACAGTAAAGTAAAAACACTGTTATCTGGATAGGTTTTCACCCCTAAAGCCATTTCCTTCAATTACCACTTTGTACAGACTCTTGCCCATGAATTCTGAGGCTGTTTCTTTTTTTTTTTTTTAAAGATTTATTTGAGAGAGAGAGCAAGCACACGTGCACACATGCAGGAACGGGGTAGAGGGAGAGGAAGCAGACTCCCCACTGAGCTCGGAGCCTGATGCGGGGCTCGATCCCACAAACCCTGAGATCATGACCTGAGTTGAAATCAAGAGTCGGACACCTAACCGACTGCGCTTAACCGACTGCACTTAACCGATTGCGCCACCTAGGTGTCCCCTGAGGCTGTTTCTTGAGATGGAATAGCTGAAGTACTTCAAGGCAGGGTCCAAAGTGTTAGGTATTTTATTAACATTCTTATAATTCTCCCATATATGCACAGGGACCTACCATTATTTACTAAATATTTTTCATTAAATAGACCTTTTTCTGTTAAATAAGTTTGTTCTAAAGGGAAATCAGTATTACTTCCTGGAAATAGAAATGACTACAAGGATAAATGTGATATAAATAAAAAAATGTTATGGTTATAGTTACTGCTGCCAGTGTGAGAGTGACCCAGGTCATCTGTCTCTTTGTTAAAGAGACATCTGCAGGGAAGCCTGGGTGGCTCAGTCGGTTAGGCATTTGCCTTCAGCTCAGGTCATGATCCCAGAGTCCTGGGATCAAGCTCCGCATCAAGCCCCTCATTGAGCCCCACATGGAGCCCTGCATCGAGCCCTGCATCAAGCCCCGCATTGGGGTCCCTGCTCAGCGGGGAGCCTGCTTGTCCCTCTCCCTCTCCTTCTATCCTGCTCGTGCTCTCTCACAGCCTCTGTGTCTCTCAAATAAATAAATAAATAAAATCTTTAAGAGAAAAAAAAAGCGAGACATTTGCAAGTGTTTAAAACTGAGACCTTCTCCCAGATGTAATCAAAATGGCTGAAGGAGAATTAGAGAGAAAAGAGCTTTTACATTATGTGATTCAAAGTTATTTAATACTCAGTCATACCATCTCAGTACTGGGCACATCACTGGGCTATTTACACACAGCGTGAAACACTGCCTCACAACTTCCATTTTATCCAGGTTTCTAAAAGCAATTCTATGTTTGTCATCGTAAGAAGCCTGTTAACTATACAGTTCAAAGAAAACACGCGAATAGCATCTTTGAGGGAGATGTTAGAGGTAACTTTTCTTTCCCTATTCATTTAAAAAGTGAAGAATAACATTTTTCAGGGAAGTGATTCAGGTATACCCTTGTCTGCAAGTAGGAAGATGACTGGTGAATCTGCTGTTCCTTTCAGTAGTGATACTGCAGTGAGGAAATACATCTGAAATAACCAAAAGCTTTATTTTCAATTACATAAAGAAATTAAGTTTCTCACATTGTAAAGAAAAAGCTCAGAAGGTAATTTTCCAGAAATGCTGAGTAAGGAAACTAGAAAAGAATTTGCTTTGTAATTGTTTATAATGGCTCTGAGGTACTATATACTAATAATCATTGCAGTACTGGATTTTAAATAAAGGAAAAAATGGATATTAAAACATGGAAAATGAGGTAGTTTACAAAGAAAATGGATTTAAATAAGAAAGTCATGGTAGGCTGGATATAAGGTCTAATCACACACATCTCTCACTCATCCACATTCAGCTTTTGGGTGGTCTCAGAGCATTAGAACGGATCCAAGAATTGGGAAGTAAGCAAAAAAGCCCTCTGACAAGAAGTTTTAAATCCATATAGCAAAATGTACTTTATTCATATGAGAGGCTCTTTTTCAGAGCCCCTGAACTCTTAGTTTAAAATTTTTTTTTTTAAAGGAGCACAAGCAGGGGGAGTGGGAGAGGGAGAAGCAGGCTCCCCGCGGAGCAGGGAGCCC